CTTGAGCCTCGCTCACGGCTAAAGTAGTTGTAAACCGCTGATCTGGTCTAAGTCAACAACATAAACGTAGCAAATGCCGTCATGGTCTGGCGCTTCAATCGGCCTCGATGAATCATATATCTTGTAACCCGCGTAGTGCATCCCCGTCTCTTGTTCGATAAATGATGTTGCCAAGATCGTAACTGCATGCCCAAATATAATCTTCCTTTCTTGGCAATGTCCCTCACCTTAACCAATTTATTGTCATCACTTATCACCACAACCGGACTCATTTGCAACAACCCAATAGCGGGTGCTTGTCGCTCAATCCATTTATTGGCAAACTCAACCTCTTGTGGACCATTTCTAGGGATTCATCTACGAACTTGCACAAACTTGAAAATCCGAGCGCCAGTAAGTTCAGCAGTTATTTCGTTTGTGAGACAATATATGATGCAAAAGAATATCAGGATTGATGTCGAAGTCATTAGGTGGAAACTCGAATGCGAGTTTCGCAACATTTGCATGAGCCTTACATTTTTCCCATTGTTTCTTGTCAATATCATAGTACCAAGCCCATCGCGAACTTAGCTCCATAAAGAGAGACGTGTTGTGATGAACACAACTTATAGGACCATAGATAGGCACGTCATCTCGAGCTCTCAACCGCGACGAAATCAGCTTACCATGAGCTAGTTGCTCATCCTAAGATAAATTTCTTACTATGCTCCGAATACATGTGTAAGGGTTACACACATTCCTTTGAACATTGTTACTAGATGATCTTGCTACAATTGAAGAATTCATGTTTGGGTTTGATGAGGTTTGATAGGGATGAGTTAGTGTATTATATGGAGTTTGGGAGGAAGATGTCGGTTATGAGAAAAGAAGTGTTTGATTGTGAATTTGTGATCAGAAGTGTTGAGGAAAGTTCATATAAACTTTGGTACTAGATGGTCTTGGTACCCTTAATAACCTGTCTCTGATACCATGTTAAGACACAGGGTTCCATCCTAAAAGGTCAACCTTATAAGAGAAGTAGCCCAAAGCCTTATATAGTGTTTTATTGTTTTATAGCTTTCCGGTGTGGGACAAATACTTTAACAACTTACAACCTTTTAATATATAGCCAACAAATGAGATGGTGATGCCAAATAAGGTTTGGAGGCGATGGAGACCACCGTCACATAGATGCGGCAAGGCCAGCGATGGTGCGATTCACTTTCGTCCTAGCTATTGGGCGACCATGGGAATTGATAGGCGATCACTATATGTCATCAGAAGGGATACACGATGCAGGGGACGTTGGCTAGGCGGCCAAACTTTGGCAGCGGAATCTGGTTGCTGGCTGGGTAAAGGATGGGATTCAGCTTCTCATTGGGGAGGGTCAAAATGTCAATGGTCTGGTAATCAAGGCAGAGATCGTACTGGCAGGAGCGGCTCTTTGGAGAGGGATTCGGTTTTGGATATTCATCATCACAATTCCCTTCATTGCAGGAGAAAATCGACTGATGACAATTTGATCTCCTTTGGAGATATTCCTGCGAAACTGCATCAACTCATCAACAACAATCTCAATAAAGAAAAGGTATAGAGACTAGGGAACTAGGGAAAGCAAAATCACTATTGTAGAATTAGGTTTTTTGAAGGCATCTAGTATTTAAGAGAAGAAAAATATCTCCTTTCCAAGTTTAGAAGTGTAGAACAAGGGGTTGGAAGGTAGTTCTAAGTCTAAGAACGGACTTAGAAGTCAAATGACCGGTTCGCCGGAAAATAACCTTTTAGAGGTTATTTGTGTTGATATGGGTTTTGTGATGATAAAACCTTATTAGGAGCTTGACTAAGGTGTTCCTAACTGTCGTCGGAGTATCGTCGAAGTTCGCCGGAGTTTCACCGGAGTTTCACCGGAGTTCAACCAAGAAGGGTATAACTTCTTAAAGCTCATTCGAGGTGATGATGACTGACTATATTGCTTATAATTAGTGAGTTAATTTCATAAGATTACATAAAGTGTTAAATGTGATTTTCATGAGTAAATGAAGCATGATATACAAATTTAGAAGAAATTGTCTATGATTGTGTATTATGAATATGATAGCATGATAATGAAATAAATTGTGAAATATAGTGATAAAATATACTTTTACTTCATGTAAAGAAATCATGAATGGATAAAAGTGATATTTTGATATTGGGGGTTATATCATATTTGGAATAGAAAATCAATTGAGATGAGCAACATGACTATGAATTAAGAACTTGGTTGTTCTAGGATTATTTGACTAGTAATGAAATACTAGTTGGAATGTTAGTATGAAAAATGATAGAATAAATCCTAATTGCTTGGATTGTGAAAGATATACCTTAAGTAGTCTTATGATATACGTTAAGGTAGGAATGTGTGAATGCTAAGTTAAGCTAGGAGTAGGCCTCCAAGGCTACTCAATATAAAGTGATCCTAGGCATAGAAGTTGCTGAGGAATCTTAATGATATGATTTAGAGGAAGCCTTTAACATATGAGAAGGTGACTAGAGTCAGCCTCTAGCACAACGTAAGATGACTACAGTCAGCCTCTAGCATAATGAAGAGTGAGTAGAGGAAGCCTCTAACACAACGAGAAATGCCTAGAGGAAGCCTCTAGCATAATGTAGAGTGACTAGAGGAAGCCTCTAGCACGAAATGGAGTGACTAGAGTCAGCCTCTAGCACGACGGAATGATATCGGTAAGTGTGACTCTACCATGGTGAAAAGACGTGATAGGATAAGCATGGGCCCACGGGCCGACTACTTGACCTTATATATAAGGTAAGTGGGTTTTAAATTGGGTAACCAGGAGTTACGTGCTATGATATAGTATCACCCTAGATTTAGGGTCTTAGAAATTGAAACATTGATTATATACAATGTAGTTGTCATTGTACTTTTTCAAATGTTTCAAAGTACTGACCTCCCCTTCACTGGGGAGGCCACCTCACAGTTTCAGGTAGAACTTGAAGGTTGCTACCACCGCCCGTTGGTTCGGGGAGATCAAAGGAAGAAGACTTGGTTCGTGTTTCTTCCGTTCCTTTTTTGAAACTGATATGAATAATGCTCATGGATATATATTTTTTGAATAATAATTTGAGGGCTTGTATGTCTAAGTTTTCCAAGTGTGGCTTGAACACTTGTATTAATGTTTGCGCTGCTTTAATGAATATTTTACATCATGTTTGTTTATGGATGTACTATGCGTGAATGATATTCAGAACGCCTTGTATAGTATGGATGTGTTGAACTGCGGTTGACTATTCGTACTGTACGGTGGATTGTTGATGTGTCCGGGTGGGTCCGGGGCGTGACAGTATAAATAGCCGCCCTTGGGCAGATGTAATGGTTCGAAATCCATTAATATGATTGCTCTCACTCTCTCTAACTTAATAGCTCTGTTTGATCTCCTCTCTATATACGGCTACTGGTACCACGAAAGGGCTTGGAGGTAACATCCTCCTCCTCAGCACTATCATCGTCGCATTCCCACAGCAACTCATAGTCCTCAAGCATCAGCATCGGGACACCCTCCAAAAGAGTAATTCTGATATTCGGCTGGAGTGGAGGCAATCTGTAGGTTTGCGACTCGAAGTTGGTGATGGCATCTACGAGCCTCCGGTAGATGAGATTCTAGGTGAAGAGATCACCCCAGACTAGCAGGCATCACCTTTCTTTGTTAGCCACATGCGTTCGGGGCCCTTTGTAACACCTCGGCCCCGTAGGCCCCGAGGTAGTTATGACAGACCTCTAGTACTGTCCTCACAAACCACCACTAGCCTTTTCCGCACACTTTGTCCTCACTCGTGCGCGCCCCGAGAAACTTCCTAGGGGGTCACCCATCCCAAGACTACTCCCATGCAAGCACGCTTAACTTTGGAGTTCTTGGCTAATGACCTCCCTTAAAAGGAGACACACCTTGTTGGTATGAGTAGTATTATTAATCCATTTAAATTAAATCTCAAGTATTACACCATTCACCTAGTCATCGATTGTATCCGCCCCCCGACAATGCAACCACTCCTTCTGCTCCTCTCCCTTATAGCCCTCGACAAGGAACTCATCCACAACAGTCCTTCGGGCATCAGCAAAGGCATCATCCTTCACCTTATTGGCGGCCTGGGAAACAAGAACAACAACCTTCTTTGCCTCCTCCTCAGCCTCCTTCCCGCCTTCAGCCTTGGCGGCACCAAGCTTCGCATCCAGGTCTGTGGTGGCCGCCCAAAGGTTCGCCCAACTCTGTTATCTTCTTTCGGAGCTCTATGGCCTCCTCGGCATGGGATCGGTCTCCCCCCGAGTTTGCTATTTTCCATACGGAGTATATTTTTCTTGGAAAAAATTCCGAAATAAAAGTAAAAACGTTTTGAAATTTCAAAATAGGATTGTCATATTTTTGTTTCCTAAAAGGAGTAATTACTACAAATTTTGGAAAATATAGTCATGTTTAAACTCTGGTATTGTCAAAAATATGACAGTAATTACTCATATTTCGGGAATTTCAGAAACATTTTTAGGGAAAAACATGATTGTCCTATTTTGGAATTTCAGAACATTTTTAGGGAAATTTCTCATTTCTCTTCAATTTATTAATATAACACTCTGTAGGTTATAAATATAAATTTTACTTAATTCAGCAGATTCAATCAATCCAACTATAGTTTCACTAATATCAGCAAATTCAACCAATTCAATCAAATGTTTTTGTTATGAATTGAATCTCAAATACAGTTTAACTAAAATAAATTCTCTATCCTTTTTTTGAAAGAAAATGGCTAATATTGAAAAATTAGAATTCAGGCAAGTATCAAGAAGACAAAAAGTCCACACCCAACCCCCAGCTCTCGAACCAGACTCATAGTCAAACACTTTCTTGAAAGCAATATGACTTTCCATCACTCCACCAAAACTCAATAGTTTGACTAGAAATGATAAGCTAGTATTACGTAAGTAGGTATGCAAACTTGGAAGAAGTGTTTTCAGATGATAATGCTTCTGTGTTTATTTTTGAGCCATTCGGCCTGCTTAAATACAAAGAGATTAGGATGCCGATTTAGTAGAATCGGTCATCCGTATTACAAGGTCAAATACTAAATGGTAAATATTCTAACCATAAAAAGAACTATCCTTAAATATTATATTTCAAAATATCTCCCAATACCCCCTCAAGTTGGCGCATGGGGATTCCGAATGCCCAACTTCTGTAGGAGAGTCTGAAATTGTGTCTTGCCAAGAGCTTTAGTGAATATATCTGCGAGTTGAATGGTAGTAGGGACATAATTGGGAGCTATGATCTTATCTTGAACAGCATCACGGACAAAATGACAGTCAACTTCGATATGTTTGGTACGCTCATGGAACACATGATTTTGAGCTATGTGAAGAGCAGATTGATGTCACAATAGAGTGGGATAGACTGAGGGCTTTGAGCCATTTTAATTCACAAGTTACCGCCGCCATAGAGCGGTATTCAGCTTCAGCGGAAGAGCGAGCAACAGTAGACTGTTTCTTGGTTTTCCGGGAGATGGGTGAATGACCAAGAAAAAAAAGCCAACCAGAGAGGGATCTGCGAGTAATCGGGCAAGCAGCCCAATCAGAGTCGCACCAACCAGTAAGAGAGAGATTACTGTCAGCACGACGAAGGACCCCTTGGCCAGGTGAACCTTTTAGATAGCGAACATGTAACACCCCGGGTCTCCAGGACCCAAGGTAGTTACTCCAAACTCTCTTCGAACCACTAGTACTGTCCTCACAAACCGCCACTAGCCTTTTCCGCACACTTTGTCCTCACTAGTACGCGCCCTGAGAAACTTCCCAGGGGGTCACTCATCCCAAGACTACTCCCGTGCAAGCACGCTTAACTTTGGAGTTCTTGGTTAATGAGCTCCCTTAAAAGGAGATGCATCTTGTTGGTATGAGTAGTACTATTAATCCGTTTAAATTAAATCTCAAGTATTACAATCACCCCCACTTAGGAACGCAACGTCCTCGTTGCGCCCATAAACCAATCTCAATCATATCACAGAATCTTTTCCCCTGCTAAGTGCCCGCCCAATATCCAACGGATCAGCACACTGTCGCAGGGTTGCTCTGATACCATTTGTAACACCCCGACCCGTAGGACCCGAGGTAATTACTCTAACACACCCTCCAGACCTCTAGTACTGTCCTCACAAACCGCCACTAGCCTTTTCCGCGCACTTTGTCCTCACTCGTGCGCGCCCTGAGAAATTTCCCAGGGGGTCACCCATCCCAAGACTACTCCCGTGCAAGCACGCTTAACTTTGGAGTTCTTGGTTAATGAGCTCCTTTAAAAGGAGATGCATTTTGTTGGTATGAGTAGTACTATTAATCCGTTTAAATTAAATCTCAAGTATTACAGAACAACCCGCAGGGCAGCATGCCAATGATCACTGAGGGGTTGTTGCATAAATTGAGAGAGAATGTGGACTGAATAGGTGATATCGGGATGAGTGACAGCCAAGTAAATAAGTCATCCAACAAGACAACGGTAATATTCAGGATCATCAAGAGGCTTGCCAGAAGCTGTTGCTAGTGTGTGGTGCTGCTCGATGGGAAAAGAAGCAGGCTTCGCCCCCAGAAGGCCTGTTTCGGTAATGATGTCCAGTGCATATTTTCTCTAGTTAAGAAAAATTCCAGTCGGGCTACGAGCAACCTCGATACCCAAAAAATACTTGAGAGTACCCAAATCTTTCATGTGAAAACAATCATTAAGATATGATTTAAAAGTAGCAATAGCAGCTCCATCATTGCCAGAGATAAGAAGATCGTCCACATAGACAAGAACGTTAAGTTGGACAGCCCCTCGAGTTAGAGTAAATAAGGAATAATCGGCATATGACTGGAGAAAACCATAACTTTTGAGAGCCTTGAGTAATTTTGCGAACCAGCATCGCGGAGCCTGCTTAAGGCCATATAAGGATTTATGAAGTCGACAGACTAGGCCAGAATCATTAGTTTTATAGCCTGGGGGTATAGTCATATAGACCTCCTCATGTAAGTCGTCGTGTAGAAAGGCATTGTGAACATCCATCTGATGGAGTTCCCAATGTTTAATAGCAGCTATAGCAAGAAAAACACGCACAATCACCATTTTAGAAACCGGAGCAAATGTTTCTGTATAATCAAGGCCAACAACCTGCCTATTTCCAAAAATAACAAGGTGAGCTTTGAGACGTTCAACGGTGCCGTCAGACCCGTGCTTCACTTTGTAAACCCACCGGCAACCTAAGGCACGTTTGCCGGGAGGCAAATGGACAAGACTACAAGTGGAATTATTTTCAAGTGCTTGAATCTCGGCCCTCATGGCATCACGCCATCCATCATGTTTAACAGCTTCATGAAAAGATCGGGGCTCTGTAATAGAATTAAGAGCTGCCAAATACGTTTTATGTTTCGAAGAAAAAGAATCACAAGTAATATAGTGAGTGATAGGGAACGGCGCGTACCTGAAGAGGATGACGAACCGGAAAGAGCGGGGAACGGACTGTTTTTAATGATGGTGTGCGTGACATAGTCTTTGAGGTGAACCGAGGGAGTGCGTGTACGCTGACTGCGCCCTAAGCCAACTTCTGCCTGCTGGTGGAGAACAAGTCGTGTGTGCGCCAGTGTACTGGAAGATGAGGGGTCAACAATTGAATCAGCAGTAGGACTAACTGCCTGTGACGCATTGTTCTCATGCATTGACGGTGAAACTACACTAGGTTCAGTAAATTCAAGAGAGAATGGATCGATGTACTCGATAGGTAAAATGGGCGGTTGAGGCTCCTCTGGTGACTGTGGAAGGATATGAAGGAGAGGTTCGCGTGGTGGATAGGAGTATCATATCAAACCATCCACGCCGAAGAGGAGCCGGTGATCCTCATAGTTTGACAGAGTTTGTTTCACGTACGATGAGATTACGTTCAAAAGCCAAGAAACAATCATAGATTGAAGCGTAAGCCAATCATCCTCGGTGCAAGGAGGTTTCGGCCCTGTAATTGTTCCGTCGACGAAAGCACATTTTCGTCTTGCTCGAAGAGCCAAACCCACAGCATTTGACCATTCCTCATATTTTTTTGCGTGAGGCGAACCGGAGTGATGAAATCACCCGGTCGATCTTGAGGTCCCAAGAAAAATGGGAAAGTATAATCAATTTTTGGTGCAGATGTAGACACATCTTCTTCCGTCGGCATCCCTGCGGATGATCGGTAAAATCCCAACCGATTAACCTAGCTTTGATACCATGATAAGCTAGTATTACGTACGTAGGTATGCAAACTTGGAAGAACTGTTTTAAGATGATAATGCTTTTGTGTTTATTTTTGAGCCATTCGGCCTGCTTAAATACAAAGAGATTAGGATGCCGATTTAGTAGAATCGATCATCCGTATTCCAAGGCCAAATATTAAATGGCAAATATTCTAACCATAAAAAGAACTATCCTTAAATATTTAAATGAAAAAGGGGCAAATAAGCCCACGTACTAACCCAAAAAGGTCAAATAAACCCTTATATAGGAGGCAATGTCCGACCGTCGTCATTTGGGGCGGTTCCCGGTGGAAATTTTTGATGCAATTCTTTGAGAATATTATTCATTAAGTCTAGTTTACTCATACCAAATTTCAGCTAAAACTTCAATCGGGAAGGCATTCAAATGAATTCTTGAAGATAACTGCGCAGTTAAAAGCGCAGTTATCTTCAAGAATTTATTTGAATGCCTTCTCAATTGAATTGTTAGCTGAAATTTGGTATGAGTAAACTAGACTTAATGAATAAGATTCTTAAAAAAATTCATCAAAAAATTCCACCGGAAACTGCCCCAAATGGAGACGGTCGGATAGAACCTCCTATATAAGGACTTATTTGACCTTTTTTGGTTAGTACGTGGACTTATTTGCCCATTTTCCATATTATATTTCCAAATATCTCCCAATAAGAAAAAAACAGAAACACAACCAAAATAGCATCCTGACCAAAATATAAAACGATAAGAAAAACATATAGCAAGTAGAGGGAGCTTGCCTCCCCAAAATAACAAGAAGTAGTAGTTGGCCCTCATGAGAAGCATCAACTCTTACAGACTCAGGCGGCCCAAAATTCTCCAATTCTTTAATACCTCGTATTTGACACCTCATTTTTCATGGAGGTTAAGAAAGTAATCAGAGAAAGTAGTAATTAAGAGAAAGTAGTAATTAAGCGGAAACACTATGAAAGAGAATATTAAACATCGAGCGTTAGAATACGAAGACCAAACTTGATTAGTCAAATTTAAACATTTAAATTTGATTAGAATATTTGCCATTTAATATTTGGCAAATTTGATTAGTCATTTAATCAAATTATGGTTAGAAAGAGATGTTAGAATATTTTCATTTTCGTATTCATGTTCATCATTGGAGGACTTAAGGGGTGGTTAGGGGGCACATGCCTCTGTTTCGAGTCCGGAATTTCACTAGTAGCATTTAAAGTAAACATCGGTGCTCCTGCTCTCACAAATCTTTTGATCCACCCGTGATTTTCATGAAACATATCCAAATGTCATGCAAGGACGATGTTCTTGAAAAGTCCCTTTCTTTTGACAAGTATTTCTTACCCGACGTGCGGTGCACCAAACAAACAAAATGGTGTGCCTATATACATAATACATATAGGATTTGCTCAAAGGTTGGTACAACGTAACTGTCCCAAACCATGGTAGATTGGTACTATTATTAATAATTTTTGTAGACATATATTTGCCACATTCATTTCCCTTGCAAATACAAGAATTGGAATTTAACTCCTCGAAAAAGGGTCTTTCCTTGTATTCACCCAAACATGATTTTTATTTCCTTTATAAGCAACTTTTAAGTAAATTACACTCACGGCTTATATTTTCATATCTCTACAACTCTTAACAGTGGCGGAATCGCGGAACCAGCTCGACGAGCTTGCAGGGCACAAATAGGAAAGGGAAGAACTTTGAGCTTAAGTATGTGAACTGCAGGAGCTAATTATATATATATATATATATATATATATATATTAAAAAAATATATTAAAACAATAAACTTCCCCCATCATATCAGGGACCTTATTCAAGAGAGTAAAACATACTCGATAATTATATCTTCATTAAACATTACATGAGAGTGGTGGAGGACCTAGGGGAATCGGAATGGCGTAACCGCTCCCGGGACCTAGGGGGATCGGAATGGCGTAACCGCTCCCCGGGTTCCAAAAACTGTAGTAGTACTTATATGATTGATGAGATCTTGCCACCACATCAAAAGCCGTTGAATAATATGATAAATGCATTACTAATTAATTAACATCTAGTTTAAAGCAACATCATTTTGATCTCAAGTATTTTCTAATAAATCGAACAATTTTTTCTGGAGTATTGGGTTGAAAAGAAGCATCATCGCTTTATTGCTTCATAATCAACAACTCTAAAACTATTTTTTACACTCTTCGTCCTAAATGAAATATCCGTTTCAGTTATTGAAGATATGATCAAGCTAACTCTTCTATAACACTCCGTAATATTTAAACTATTATAAATAATTGGAACTTTAACTGTTAGAAATTAAACTAAAGTAATATGGAATTGAAAAATCCAATACTAACAATATTAAAAAAAATACTCCCTCCGTCCCGAAATTATCTTCATTCTTTCCTTTTCTATCCCTCCCAAATTTATCTCCTCTTTCCCTTTTTGATAAAGAATATGTGATTCACAATCATTCTTACACATTTCTCTCTCCTCTGCACAACTCTCCACCACACAAATCCCACTATCTTAATCCTCGTGCCCAGTCAAAACCGAAGTTAATTATGGGACAGAGGGAGTAACTAATTCGACTTGAATTTGTCACAGAGCCATGCAACTTTTTTCGTGATGTAATAGCTTTACACGAAATCACAAATTATTACGGTGTTCATTTTAAAATGCCCGTCGAACCCGTTTTACCATGAAAATAGTATATACAGCCAAATTTATGCCTATACATGATAAAGACCCTAAAACCTATTGTTTTTTGTATTATAATATACTTGTTCCTTATAATTTTGTCAACTTTTCTTTTTTTGTTGTCCCAAAAACTTTGTCACTTTCCCTTTTAATCGATCAATTTATGGTTCATGTTATTTCTTTTTCCCTCTGCATTAATCTCTACCACACAGTTTTTACTTTATTATTCTACGTGTCAATCAAACTTGACAATTCTTTTACGGACGGAGGAAGTAATAATATCCATATACAAAATCGTATATTAAAATATACTTGTGTTGATGACATAAATACTAAACATGGATTGAACTTTCTTTTGGAACGGTGGTAATAATAATTCACATCTCCTTTTTTCAAGCTTGAAGTATTATATTTCAAACAAGTACTCCCTCCGTCCACTATTCTCATGGTCAACTTAAATCATTTTTAATCTTTTACTTTATAAATCAATTTTTTACCAAATTTACATTTTTTATCAGATTTTGTATCGATTTTAATGTAGTTTCTGAATATGTTAATTTTATTTACTAAAAATAATCATAGTGTGAACATGGATTAAGTTGTTTTATCGTCAGTCAAGCATCGTAAACCGTTCACGGGAACCTTTTAGGGGGACGGAGGGAGTATAAATTTAATTTTGCGACGTGTATGATAGGGCACAGATTGAGTTTAGAATCGGAATCCATTAGGCCATGTTTGGTTGGAGGGTTTCGGAGGGGATGGGAGGAAAGTGGGGGATTTGTGTGTGTTTGGTAGAATGAAATAGGGGGAAGGGGAGAAAAGTGGAAGATTTTCAAAATCCTTCACTTCCTTCCATTCTAAACCCCCAAATTGAGGTATTTCGGAGGACACGTGTTGATAACCACAAACTATTCATTTCGTACGTGAATGAACAAAACGTTATAATATAAAAAGGTAAAAACAAAAAGTTTTGAAAACTTAAAAAAAAAATTAAAGATTAAAAAAATTAAAAAATAAAAAACTAAAAATTTTAAAAATTAAAAAAATGAAAAATTATAAATTATAAATTTTAAAAACTGTCAAATTGGTTAACCGGAAGACTTGTTCCGTAGGCAGGTTAACCGGAAGACTTGTTCCTTACCGGTTGAACTGCTCAATTGACTGCTTTTTATTAGGTGGAGGGTTCAATTGACCGAATTTAAAGTACGAGGACCTAATTGACTTTTTTTTTGTATAGTAGAAGGACCAATTTGACAGTTTTCCCAAAATAAAAATATTTAAAAAATAAAAATAAAAAATTAAAAATTCCAAACTGAAAAATGAAAAATTTTAAAATTAAAAAAGTAAAATATCAAATAAAATAAAATTACGACTCATGACCATAGGAGTAATATTTACAATAGTTAGACATGTATCTATTTTTTTAAGTAAGTTATCAAATAAAAGTAAATTACGAAAATATTTTCATTAAACCTTTCCTCCTATTTCCTCCAACCAAACACAATTTTTTATTAAAACCCTTCCTTCCCCTTCTCTTCCTTTCCCTCCTTGACTCTCCCCTTCCCTCCCCTCCTTTGAACTAAACAAGTCCTTGAACTATGTAAGAATAATATGATTCTTGTACAATTATTGTATACAAAGCTATAAACGAGGGCTATTGTCTTGATTCTGAGTTTTTCCTAAAAAAGCGAAGGTTAATGTTGTGTTTAGAACTGTCCAAACGGTCCAAAAACCTGACCTTGACCGATCCGACCCGTGTCAATTCAATACCCCCCTCACCATTTGAAAAATATTCTAGGTCTGACACTGCATGCGAGAACTTACACTGAGATGTTCTAAGTCTCTCATTTGAAGCCCATAAATTTATAGTAAGATTGAAACTGTTTTAATCGATTGAATCTACTGAACATGAAATTATGGATTAAAAGATCCAATGATTGATGATGAAGTATATGGGTCTTGACCCCGTGACTCACATACTCAATAGATTAAGAGGAAGCTCAGTTGTCGCCCAGTGGGTCCTCCGTCAGTCAGATGACCCTTCATCGGCCAGATAGACATCAACTCCGAATATGGTCCAGAAGCCAAGAAAACCGGGGTGCCCCGTCGGTCGGGTCTCCATCGACCGTGTCTCCAGCGGCCGAGCGTCCCCATCGGCCGTGTCTCCAGCGGCCATGTCCCCATCGGCCGAGCGTCTCCATCTGCCAGACGTCCGTCGGCAAGACCTCCATCGGCCAGAACTCCGTCGGCCACAGAGAGCACACAGAGCTAGACTTCCAGTCTTGACTTATATATCCGAATGTACTAAGCCCAATAGAGGCTTTATATTGTAATGGGCCTTCTAAGTCCGAGACTTGAGAACCCAACCCATATTTTCATTATAAATACTCCCTTGGGCGCCATGTAAAGGGTTGAAAATTCATTAATGTATATCACTTCTTTCTAACTCTCCCTTCTCTCTAAGAGTTAATACTCTATCGATTGACTTTGAAGAATTATAAAAACATCATATTTAAAATTTATTTATTAACAAACTAAAGACAAGTCACATGAAAAAGTTAGTTTCATTACGAAACTTCAATTACTAGAGAACTAACTAAATAATTACTCCCTCCATCCTCATAATTTTGTCTTGTATTACTATTTTCGTTCGACCCAGTAATTTTGTCTCATACTATATTTGGTAATATTTGGTTGGTTACGATTCATTCTTACTCTATTCACACTTTATCAATTCAATATCAACCATAGAATTCCACTTTCTTAAAAGTTGTGCCACACCCCTTTGTCCCAAAATAGTGGGGCGAAGGTAGTACAGAAGTATTTATTTTGAGAATTACATAACTTAATGCATAAAATCAAAATTTCCGTAAAAAAGTTTTCTGATAAAAATAATAAGCCTAATAAAAATACCAAGTGGGCTCCTAATTTTTGTTATTGAAAATGTACTTTTATAAATCAGGATGAAAATAATGAAAGATATTCATCAACACAGGCACAATTAGCAAAAATCAATTACTGACTGTTTTTTATGAAAAAAATTCATTTTTGGTCCCGTGACTATTATATCACTTTCACATTTAGTCTTTTACTTTGAGATTGTCCACATTTAGTCCGTGACCATTATCCCCTCACCACCTCTCGTCCTTCTGGCCAAAATTCCGTCAAATTTAATGCAGATTTTAGGTATGAAAAACCAAATTTAATGCAAAGACTGATATGAAAAACCCAACCCTATAAAAAATTCAATGCAAAGACTGATTCTGAGGCCGATAAGTGGACTAAATTTGCCAGAATTTTGGCCAGAAGGACGAGGGATGGTGAGAGGATAATGATCACGGATTAAATATGGACAATTTGAAAGTAAGAGATTAAATGTGGAAGTGGTATAATAGTCACGAGACAAAAAATGTTTTTTTTTTCTTTTTTTATTAGAGGAACTTTTGACATTTGAAATAAGCTTTTTGACAAATGTACTCCGTATATTATTCGGCATGGTGTGAAATGAAAACCAACTTTACTCATAGCAATTAGCAAAAAACAAATCCCAAATGTGGTTGTACGAACTCTCAAAGTTTCAAGCAGTTTTCAATGTCATCAAATCAGCCAAAACATTGTTGCCAGAAAAAACAAGGTACAGAGTCAGATCACAGTGAATGCCAAAGATTTTTCCGGCAAATACCCACCACCAAACAAGCGTGGCAGGCCCACCATACAGGTCCATTTCTTTCACAGAATATGTGACAAAAATGTTAGGAAACTCGCAACACAGTCTTACAGGCAAATATGTTAGAGCGGTTCAATATGTTAGAGCGGTTCTTGATGTATAAAAAATGTACATTTTTTTATATGCACACTTATGAACACAAACAATTGATGACTTTTTCTAAACGTAAAGATGTGTTCGTGTAAAGATGAATACCTAAAAATTGTACACTTTTTGTATACACCTAATTTTTTCAAAAAAAAAAAAGATAACACCTCATCCCTGAGGGTCCCCAACACCGACCGGATGGTACGTTGGGAAGATGTAAATTACGTAGTAGATTATAATCACAATATGACAGATAGAGTGTGGGACTCCGTCCCCGGTACTTGCATAGGCCCTTATGCATTTTTTAGTAACCTTTCATCGCAGTTGCTGGGATTCGAACTCGAGACCTAACCCTTGTGACACTCCCTCGCTATCGGTTGAGTACGTCCACCGGTACACCCAATTTTTTCAACATGTCATCGTAATAGCCATTCCTTTTTATAGTGAAGTTTAAAGTGGTGGGTGGACCTTATTTTGAAAATGAAAGATTATGATTATGTAACATATAACTCTATAGAGGAGGTCATATAGGACTCCATAATATTTCTAGAACGCCCTCTCACCAAAACAGCATAAGGGCAGGGCCGCAACAGCATCATCAAATTGGGGCTAAGGAAAATTTGCCATCTCTCCTTTCAATCTAGTGTTGGATTCAGTTCGGGCCACCCGGCCCGTGACCCGGCCCGGCCCGGTACTGTGCGGGCCCGGGACCGGCCCGGTCGGGCGGTCCGGGACCGGGTGTGGACCCGAACCGGTGGGAATGGGCGGGGCGGGCACGGTTCCGGAAAAATCTGACACGGCCCGGCCGGGTCGGGCCCGGGTCCGGGTCTAACGGTCTAATTTTTTTAAATAAAAAAAATTAATAAATTGGTACTAGTCGTTGGGGGTGGGCTGGGGACAACCCAAACAGCTATATAGCCGTTGGGTGGGGTGCAGGGGGGTCCGGAGGGTTGGGTGGTGGGGGTGGGGGTAAAAAAACATTTTTTCATATCTCTTCTCCAATTCTTCCTAAATCCTATTCTTAACTCTCTACTCTCTAATTCTCTTATTCTCCAATATATTATATTTATTATTTATATATCTACTTTATAGTTTATACTTAAGAAGTTAAGATGGAAAATCAAGATGCCATTATACGGTATAATTTTGATAAGCAGAAGGACCCGAAGACCGGGATGTGGTTCGCAATTTGCAAATGGTGCGAGAAAAAAAGTAACATGGGGGTTTCAGGCGGATACGGGATGGCAATCAAGCATATGAAGTCATGTGACAAAGCCAAAGGATCGGGAGGTGCGGGAAGTTCCGATTGATTATAATTTTCAAAATGTTTGTCTTTTAAAGTTTGTTTTAATTTTCAAATGTATTTCCTATTTCATTTCAAATAAATGCACTTAAAGTTTGTTTTTAATACTCGTATAAAACTATAAACTATAAAATATAAATTATATATAAAAAAAACTTTAACCGGCCCGGCCCGAACCGGACCCGACCCGTGACCCGGGCGGGTGGCCCGGCCCGAACCGGACCCGTCCAACCCTCAGGCCAGTCCCGGGCCCATGTCATACAAACCAACGGCCCGACCGGGCCCGAGTCCATCAATATTTCAATCACATACAGAGAAACTTACTAAAATCTAACTATTCACTTTAACTCAGAGAGATGAGGGTAAATGGGTTTCATTTATTCTGAATTCTTCGAAGTTCCATCAGTACACACTATGGACAGTATAAAGAGAAACAAAAAAGGAGGAATTACATGAAAAAGGAAAAAAACAGGGATTAGTTAACTTCTGTACTAATTGGCACTGAGAGAGCCCAAATGCAAAAGCTAACTCTACAACTAGGTCTACAATTACCCATTAACCCTTTCCCCTCTCGTTACCTGTATGATCTGTTAGACAAAGGTTCCTTCTAGTATTAACTGCTGCTTTGTCAGTTTTGAGCCCTGTTATGTTACAGATCATGACTCTTCTACATTCTAAACTACCTAGCTACCCAACTAGAATTCTTACATAAAATTAAACAAAGCCACCTGCAGTTTTCCATCTTCTAAGCCTGAGACAAGCCAGAAAAATGCAGGATTAGTCCTGATGGAACCCCCTGCGATACATGTCTAAGGATTCACTGTTTCCCATTCATAACGTCCGGGAAGAGGCTTATCATTCACTGGATCATAGTTGTACCTGCAAGGTATCCAGTGCCAACAAAACTTTTTACTTCTAACAACTGTTGTTATTATTACTACTAAATCAATAACAATTATATTAATAATAAAAGTAATATAGTAGTATTAACAATAATGATGTCTACAACTTTCGTTTTAGTAATATATTTGTCCTTAAATCATGAAAATAATAGAGCAATTAATAATAACAGTAACATTAATAAATCTTACTTTTCAATGAATTGTCTTTGTTGCTGGATTTCAGCATCAGAGAAGAACTCATCCACTTCATTTGTTGGTGGGATGTGGCTTAGCAGTGAATTTTGTATTCTGCTTTGGACTTGGCTCGTGTCGGTAGGCCGCCGCCTTGTACTGGAACCAGGGGGTGTTTGGATAGCATCTGGATCCCGTATGAAACTGCAAGGTGTGCTCTCCCTAGTCGTCCTGCAACAAAAGACGGTTGAATTGAACAAACATTGGTGTTTCAAATACAAGACCATTCAAAGGCATACATATTGACCCCCCCCCAGACACACACAGATGCATAAATTTAGACATGGCCATGGCAAATTAGCAATACCCATTTCTGTTTTACATTGCATGAAAACAACAGTGAACTTTGTGCATCACAGCTGCATCAAGGACCACATACTGTGCTTCTTTTAACTTGTGCGGAGAGTCTGGCAAACTTATTTTGTGTGGGGTGGAGGTTAGGGTGTTGGGGTTGGTAAGTAGTACTCTAAAGAGTAAAGGTGTAGGTAGTTAAATACTCCGTATTTCATACTACGACATGTATGATGTATCAAGCACCAGACCAATAACCAGCAAAGCCTATAACACTTTCCACATCTACGAGTGCAGAAAGCAAATAGGTTACACATCATCATATTGATTACCTACAACATTCAACCTACCACAAAACAGAACATCTAAAAAGTGTAATTGTAACTGAGAAATTGACATACACTGTATAATCAACAGATTTTGTATGAAAGAAAGAACATTACTGACATATAATAAAGATATAAAATATTCCAAATATTTAGATAATACGAGAGTGAGAATGTTTCTTACAAATCTAATCTTTAACATACTTTGTATAGAAAATAATAATAAGTATTAATATATTTAGTAATAGTAATAATAATGCACCGAGAAACGAGAGCAGTCGCTTGGATATAAGAGACGGTATGACCAATATATTACCAAAAAAAGAAAGTATAAGAATATAAAACAAGTTGGAGAAAATAAAGAGTGGTGCCAAAAGAGAGAAATAAGAGAATGTAGACCTGCTGAAAATTTAACCCTTTTTATGGAAAATTGAATATATGCTGATGGAGAAAAAATGGATTTTCTAGAATGAGGAGGTAAAATATTGTTTAATTTTTTCAAGTTAGCCATCCAAAAAAATGAAAATTGGCATATCCATGCTTGAAGCTCCATACTGTGACAAAGTATAAGCCTAAAGAGTAAACACTAAAGACTACATTCGTAATGCTCAAAGAGGAAGGTTCTTACCAGCTATACTGCAAAAAGTGGAAGACTAGCACTACCCCCCATCCCACCCAAAATGGGGAAACACTATGATGTATGGCCTTCAGGTTATTTCACAGATTAAGTAAAAAAAGGCTCAAAGCACAAAGCTCTTAAATGCTATCATCTCCTATACTCTAACAATAAAAGAACCCCATTGATGTATCTACTTTAGAGGTTTAGACTGGTCAGTAGTAACCTCTATTGCAAAAGCTGTAACAACCACTCCTTTCAATGGAAAAATACCCTCATACAAGTCCCACATGTTGAAAATATAGAGCATTTAGTGACCCCGTTTTCCTTTTTCATTAAACATGTAACTTTCGATTTGAAGCGCGAAATGTTGTAATAATCAAAATAAGTAAGGTTGGAGACTTGGAGTTACTTTTCTAGCTGGATTGACTGAAGTTACCGCAAAAGACGATTTCAGCTATTTCATATATTTTTTTTCTTTATTTTATTATTAGAATGTATTTTTAATAACATTTTTTCTTAATATAGAAGATCCAGCCAATTCAGCCAGAACTTTTTCAATCAATTTCAGTTTTACCAAATGGGCTCATAGTGTAAGTTTGGCTAGTGGCGTTTCGGCCAAAACCGCCACTCAAATAAAACTTGAAACGCTGCAAATTGCAGCGGGTAGGAGGTTGAAATGCCAAAATCCAAACGAGCCCATAGAGTACCATATAAAAGAAAATAAAAAACAAGTTATTTGCAAATATGCATGCCCCAGGACACTGAGCTTCATGGAGCAAACATGTTCACTTTTAGATATATATTTATATATTTAAGCATATACTCCGTATATATATACATATTTATGATGGAGCTGTAGGCAGTAGGCTGATCGGAGAAGAAGAGTAATTTAATGAAGAAAAAGGCTGCGACTTCTATAACCATGAAAGAAAGCACGAAACCCAAATGTTACTTATACCTGAAACAGTTGGAAGGAATATAGTAAAACGAATTTGGTTTTATTTTCCTGTCCACTCTTTCTCTAAAGAATAGAACTCACAATCAATTATTGGAAAAAAGAACCTAGTTGTTCTTAACTGAATTCAACTACAAACACATACAACTGGATCCAGCAGAGATACCTAGAATTTTGCACCTCATATATGAGTTTTTAATAGAATTCCTCTAAAAACAATCAGGTTCTTTTTTCCAATCATTAATTGTGAGTAATTTAGTCAAGAATGTGGAGAGAGAAAACTAATTTCACTCTGGAACAAGAACTGGTAGATCAATCAAGGGGGGCAAACAGCTAAAGTTCACATCTTTTCAGGGAAACACAATACTAAAGTATAAAAAGAGCAGCAACATTAAACCAGGAAGAAGAAGAAAGATACGATTGAAATTTTATGGCTCAGAAATGAACAGATAAAGTGGCGAAGAAACTTTTGAAATAAAAAAGCGGAGAAAGTCCCAAATTCTTTAGAAATACAAAAACAAGAAAACCTAGATAAATTGAGAGAGACAGAATCCCACCTCTCTCTACCTTCGAATTCGTGCAAATTCTCCCCGAATGACGCCTCAATGCCAAAATTGTCCCCTTTGTTATCATTTTCTTCGACTGCGCCGTTACTTTCCGGCAAATTGATATCCTCCTTTTCCAGCCCGTCGAAATATCCACCCCCCTTATTCACGGAGCTGGTATTCGAAGACGAGGCCTGCCTTAGCCTGGAGCTAGCTCTCGGACTCTGGTCCTGGTTTTGGGCCGGCTTCGAGCTAGGGCACGAATTTTGCTGAGAAGGCTTATGAGTGCGCGAGTAGGGGCCAATTGGGGGTTTCTGCAGCCGGCGGTTTCGGAGCTGCATGTAGGACCCACAATCAGCACAGACGGTGGAAGAACCGCCCGCCACAGCCTCCGTCGTCCGCTCCAAGCGCTGGATAGCTAGGGTTTTGGCCCGGGTACGGACACCGAGAGAGGATTGTGTGTGGCTGAGGTCCAGGAGAGCCACATCGCTCGCGTTCTTTGACTTCCGCATATACTTCCCCATCTTCTGTCTTCTCTTGAGCTCTTCAGTCTCCTTTCCCTAAGCTTTTTTTCATGAATTTCTGCAGAAAGAAACACGGCCTGGAATTGCAGTAGTTCGATGAAATTTTAGAGAGAAGACGGCGGATCCTTGAGAGAGAGTTTAGCAGAGGAGAGAGATAGGAGGAGTTTGATTGCACTTTTTTTTAATTTATTTAAGGAAAAAGAAAAGAAAAACAGAGAGAAAAGCAGGGGTGGGGTTGTGGAAAATGGGTTATTTTGCTTTTCTTTTTATCGTTGAAAAAAAGTATTTGCCGTGACCGAGTGTCTTATCCACTACATTTACACATTTCATGAGTCCACAATGTCAGATTTATAAATCAATACATTGACCTGGCGGTGGCAACATTTACCGCCCCACCGCCACCGCCACCGCAGACTGCCACAATAGTTGATCCTCCTCGCCATCCTCTGCTGCTAACTTTATTGGTTGTCTTGGTGACAAATTTCTACTTCAAAAACAGGTTATCGTTGCCTGGCCAACATTTCATCATTGTTCATTGCCATCCGCTCACCTCTAAGGTCTAAGGATATATCAAGACTTAAACAGAGCAGATCGATCAGACCAGACTTCCATGGTTATAAAATACGCAGAAATCAGATATTTACCAGACATATTCAAACAGATCAGACTAGACCAACAAATTTCAATCCAAGTAAACACATCCTAACGACCAAAATTACCGATTGACACCATCACACTTGACACTACCACAATGTCAAAATATAATATACCTCACATCCGGTTCTAGCGTGCACACAGTACAATGTTATTTTATACTCCATATTAAAAGAAATGAGTATACCTTTTAAAAGAAATGAGTATTGATTTTGAATTATTGTAATATTAGCACAATAAATATTTTGATGATAATGCACTCATAATTTAGTTGAATGAATAAGTTGATTTAATACCAATACCCCATTTCTTTTAAATTCTATACTCATTTCTTTTAATATAAAATATTTGAGCGTACATTGTGTACGGTATAACGGGGTGTAGAATCGGGTTATAAACGAATCAAATAATTTGTACTCAATTCGAATTCGTATAAGACGATTCGAATTCGGAAAATTCAAATGCAAGTACAAATAAGAATATTAAATTTGATTCAAGTTGTTATTAAATACAAATAAGAATATCAGCCTATTCTATTCGAATACAAATCAAATATATTCGATTAATAATAATAGTAATAACACTACAATAACTTTTCAAAGATAGCAATACCCCTGATGGAGTATATGGCCCGGGAACCCCCGGTCCACAGACTCCTACTACGCCAATAAAGGCCCAATAGGCCCAGGAAGCACAATAGGCCCAGATCACGGCGCCCAGAGTACCAAACAGCCCACAATGCGCACCAGGGATGCCTTCGGCCCCCTGGCCGAAGGCTCTGATTCTCACAGGAAGGTCAAAACAGGAAAACAAAGTTACTAGAAAGAACGGCGAAAATCAGTAGCCCTCGGCACTAAAGGGGTCCCCGGTACTCAGAGCCCTCGGCTAGTCATCTACACCCGACGGCACCTTTCCCGACATAATATCCGCTCCACATGCGTATAGATCACCGTACCCTGTACGACGTCACATCCAACAACCGCATTAAATGCGGTCACATGCGGTTGCCAGCGCCAACCAGTTGAGGTGACCCCTCAGCCAATGGGTGCTCGACACGTGTCCCTGTCTGGCATTTATTACTACTATAAATAGCACCTCATTTCCATATTTGTAACCAGGACACAAGAAGCAAATACGCTGAATACTTTCTAATATACTCTCTCTCTCTCTACTTACTTGCTCTGACTTCTCTCTAGTTATTCTCCGCAATAACCCCTCGGATAAACTACCCTCAGGTACACTATCCATCATTTGATGCTCTCGTTGAGAGGTCGAACGATCAAGTAAGAAACCCTCCCCCTCGGCCAAACACAAGACACCCAGCTAAAATGGTGAGAACAACTCGTGCCAACTCCAAGAATGTAGAGGACAGGAACCTGGCCCTCGGCGAAGTCGACGTGCCCGAAGCCTCCAACAGGGCTCCCGGGGGCGGGGGGCGTCGCCGGGTTGGACCAGACGGCTGTCGAACTACGCCAGCAGATTCAACAAAATGCCCCCGATGCCCGCCTCGGCATCGAGGCCAAGAAAAAGGACCGGAGCGAGAATCAAATTAGCCCTCCGGTCATCACAATCGACGTGCAATCGGCGCTCTCCGCCTTCATCCAGACGCTCACCCAGAACCCGGGTGCCTTCGGCACTTTGGTTCCCCATCAACCTCATGTCGGAGAGAATATTATGCCTCCCCCTCATCCACGACCCCTCGGTAACCCGGTCCTCCGGATGGGGAACTCTAACAAAATCAAGTAGTCACTAAATGACTACACTCATAGTTACTGCTACATATAAATGTTGGAGTTTACAAGATGACCAACACACCTAGTCCTAAACATCTTATACCATATGCCTCGGGATCGGATTGTTGCAAGTCTTCTGGTTATGCCCATATTGTCTACATCTCCCATATTTTTGTTTTTTTGGAAAACTCACCAATCGAAGGGATTCTTTTATTTTTTGCCTACCAGCAGGTCGCTTGTCTAAGATTGGTGGTTTCACAATGAAGTTCCGAATTTCCGCAGGAACATCGTAATGCGAGATTGAACCCAACAGATGTATTGCCCACGATATGCTTCCACCCATGCATTAGTGCTGTAATATTTTGAAATGAAGTCATAACAAGATATCCCGCCCCTAAATCGAATTGCGGCTACTGCATGGACACACACAAAGTCTTCCAATTCAAAGTCCTTATAACTACAACTCCGTGTCTCTAGATTTACCACACATGCTCGGCAGTTTTTGTCAATAACCTCAAACGTAAACGTTGTGCTTGGCCTAACCTGAAATAATTTAAACAACAAATTAGTGACAAGAAACATACATTTCCATCCATACTCATCTACGTTATCTCTACATGTTCAATCCCTGCACAAGTAAAAAAATTAGTGAACAAAAACACAAATTGTGCTCATTATTGACAAAACTAAAAATAATTAACACACTCACTATCATTCCCGCTGAATCACTTAACAAATTTCCAAGAACTTCTTCCGCAGCTGCAGACAACTTTCCCTTGTGTTCTCGCGCTGCTTTACTTCTATCATGGAACCAAACTTGCATTTTGGTTCTCAGAAATTCAACCAACATGGCTATGGGGTACTCTCTCGCAGTTCCATCCACTGAATTTAATGTCTCTGCATTGTTCGACGTCACTATGGAGTACCTATGTCTTTTAATCTTGCAACGTGCCCACTTTTCAAGTCCAATTTCTGCCAGGTAATGTCGTATCCTATGATCTGCAACATCAAGTAATCTCATAAAATACTCCATCTTACGGTCTGTTGCAGCTCTGACCGCTGCATTAAAGAACCTAGTCACCCGGTCTTTTCCCCCACCAAACTTGGAAATAATATTTCCAAGTATATGTTGAACACAATGGCCATGATTTACACCTAGATATATTTCCTTCACACCTTTTATGAGTTCTTCATTTCTATGAGACACAATGCACATATCCTCTCTCTCACCTATGGCCTCTCTCAATTTCGTAAAAAACCACAACCATGCTTCTTTGTTTTCACTATCGCAAAATCCAAATGCAAGTGGGAATATTTGCCTATTAGCATCCATTGCACAAGCAGACAGTACAGTCCCACGGAATTTAGCTTTTAGGTATGCACCATCCACACTAATGACTGGCCTACACGCTGCCCAACCTTCTCGGCACGCTCCCAGTGACATGAACATTCTTTTAAAGTGACCATTTTCGTCAGTATCTAACGAAATCAGTGATCTTGGATTTGTCTTGTCCATCAAATAACAAAGCATTGGCAACTTCTTATATGACTCACTATCGGTCCCTGCTAGTGATATAAGTGCTTTCTCTTTGCCCCTCCATGCTTTCTTATAGCTCAAATTTAAGCCAAAGACTCTATTCAAGTCTGAAATAATTGATTTTGGAGGATATGGCTTTCTCGAAGCATCCATGTACCAGTGCTTAATCAATTTCCCTATTATTGTCGCGCTAGCTTGCCTGTTTCCGCTCATTCGACAGTCAATTGAGCAGCTATGCACTGAATCAAACCTGAAGTCATTAAGTTTTAAAACAACTGTAAATGCTAAGTCACATTAACTACTTAATCTTATGCAAAATATAGTAACAGAAACATACCTGCGGACTTCAAAACATTGACTACCCAATATTCGCACGCCTCGTACAGCCCACTTACAAGACTCCTCAACACATACAACATGCAATACTTCTGGAGTAGATGTCCTCGTTTTAAACTGAAACTTGTTGTACAGTGCATACAACTGCAGAGTTTCCTTCAAATGTTCCTTTGTTGGATAAATCCCGTTCAATCTTAACGTACTGTCCATTCCATCTACATTTATTTCACCACCATCTGCAATCCATGAAAGCAATGATCTATTGCCTTCATTTGAATCGTCATATATTCCATCACTAATACATCTTCCTTCTCCATTTTTTAATTCCATTGAAGGATACAGCTCCTTACCTTGAGCATTCAAATCAAATTCACTAAGCACTTCCCTGTTTGTTTCTTCCGCTTGGGAATCCAAAACCGTCTCCCCACCGCTTCTTTCCTTCCTCGTTTGGACACATAACGGATATGCACTAAAATCTAATTTATCTCTACACTTTATATTCAAATAAAACCTCAAACTCTAGTCACTTTCCACCTTAGTTGGGGGAAATGCTTTGTCTATCAGATACGCTATGCAGGTTATTTCCACGGCCTCAGAAACCCCTATAACGGAGCGCACCTCACACAACAAATCATTGTATGATGCATCAATTGCAACTAGCATTTCGTGTGAAGTCTTTGCCATGAATTTATTATCCGAAGTCCATCTACCATCACACAAAATTGTCACTATAATGTGTTCCATTCCTGTGATTTTAAAAGTTTGAACAACGAAATGTTTTAAATAACAACATCGTGTTTCAATGAACCATTCACTACTAAACAGAGTTTAACAATTGTGAATGTGCCATACATGTCTACATTATCACTGTCATCGTCACGTGTACCACATGTCACTATGCACACACCACATAATGAATCCACGACAAAT